CCCCCAAAACCCCAAAACCCCAAAACCCCTACTAAAATCAGAATTATTGAAATATTTTTACAATATGAACAGTATGTCATTTCATTCAATCCTATTCCATCAAACCTAATGTTATTATAGGAAAGAAGAAGATTGCGAAGAGAAACTTTATCAATATGTTCAAAATGTAAGCCAACCTCCCCTAATATCTCACCTCATCGCATAGAAAAAACGAGCCCAATCAGAAATGAATGCTCACTCCCAAAATTGCATGTGCAGAAGTCAAGAATTCTGCTAAGAAGTAAGCTTCTGATTTTGGAAATTAATGTCTTAAGAGACTTTAACTCAAGCTGAACTCCTATCTCGTCTTTCTTGGAAAATTCATCTTAAAATACTTTTAACAAAATTTTAAAGAAGCTAGAATGCTTATCATAAATCACTGTATAATTATAAAACAGGTACAAAAAACCCAAGACCAATTCAGAGCTTAATAATTACCTAAAAGAATTCTTTCCAAAAGCAAAGACAGGGTTAAACAAGGAGCACCAGAAGAGAGTGCTAATTCACAGCGAGACTAGAGGTCCTCTTGATTTCAAGGAAACCATGACTACTAACCACCCGAGGCCAATTGAGTATGACTTTGGAATGATCTTTTAGAACACCGAATTTACCCAGAGTAGTTTATCCGACCAGCACTGCTTCGAATTCAGAGAGATTTGATACAAAACGATTTATGAAATTCAGAGAAATTTTTAATAAAGAAAAATAAGGTTGGAAATTTCGTAAAAACTTTTAACAGTAAGTACAATTCAGCCTTTGAGAAATGATCACTCATCTATATTTATGTAGTGCCAGTTAAGCTTAATAATAACAAAACACTTAAAAGAGGTGGTTCAGACCTTAAAATTAAGACTTTTGCTGAAGATGAAGAAATTCAAAATTTGACGCAAATGACAACACATTTCTCAGGACCGAATGGTGTTCATATCTCTAAAACGTACGATTTTTATAACATAATTTAGACTAAAAGCTACACCTTTCTCTGGAAATAGACAGGTAAGACTACATTCCACAAAGCCCTCCATCTCTACCCTACCAAATCTTACAAAACCTTTCTTCTCTAAAGCAATCTGCTCTAATTTATCCCCACAAAACCTCTCATCATCCACCCCCTCTTCAATTTCCAACCTAAACCTCCAAAACCTCATTTCCTATCACATCCGTCCATCAAACCCTCCAACCCCTCCCTTTCCCACACCACCAAAAATCCCACTCCTTCAACTATCTCCTATAAATCCTCAAAACCACCCTAAGCAGCCCAAAAATGTCCCCAAAACGCCTAATCCTCTACTTCAATTCCACTCAATTAACCCTAAAACCTATCTAAAATACTTGTTAGCCTACTAATCTTAACGCCTAATTTTGAGAAATAGAAACTGAAGCCTACAAATATGCAAAAGTTTAAATAAAGTAATGAGCTTTACACTCACTAATAAACTTGACCATATGATGGATAAAGTTACCAGGCTCAGAAGGACCTGGAATAGACATTCGAGGGGAAGGAATAGATCGAGTAAGTTATATAGTGGAGGTACTTCCAAACTAGAAACTATCATTTTCTTAAACCCCTGTTTCAACTACTTCAATAGCAAACATAAAAGAACGAAACACTGGAATTCTAATCAAGGACAATTTTCCTAAAAATTTCAGATCACCAAATATGCGGGTTACATTTAACCTGCCAGATGAAGACTAGAGCTTGAAAATTATTCCAAAAATTGGCCTAAATTCATTAATCTCCAATATAATTTAGGCTAAAAGGGGTTTTGGGGTTTTGGGGTTTTGGGGTTTTGGGG